CTTGGATTATTCGTTATTTTTACGTATGGATGATACGTAATAAGTTTGTACGAAGCTGTCGTCAAGCAGATGTAATAATGCGTTAGTCAAATTAGTGGTTGTTTTTACTTCCTGAACAATGTTTCTTTTCATGTTTTCTAGACGTTTGATGACCCCTAAAATACGAAAAAATAGGTCTTCTGTTTCCGTCTGTGTGGAATATCGTGTACTGACATTAGTAAATATTATTTAAATTTAAACATCCAGATTTTTTAGAAGAAATTTAAAATCGTATAGTAACGTTTTAGTTTAAATATTGAAATTTTGCAAAGTTTTAAGGTTATTGGAAGCAACGAAACTATGAATCATAATTTGTGCGTTTGTGCGATTTTTCAGGTTTTTGATTTTTCAATTTTTAGATTTTTAAATTTTTTTCCAATTTTTGGCGTTTGTAAATTTTCAATGTGACAACTTTTCAATTTCTCGATTTTTCGATCTTTTGTTTTACTTGTTTCTCGATTTTTCGGTTTTTCAATTTTTTGAATTTTCGACTGGATGATTTTTCGTCTTTTCGATTTCCAAATTTCCCAATTTTCAATTTTGGAATTTTTCAATTTTTCGCTTCATGAAATTTTCGATTTCTCAAATTTACGATTTTTTATAATTTTCGGGTTTTTGATTTTTTGACTTTTCGATTTTTTTATTTTTCGATTTCTGGAATTGTATGATTTTTCAGTTTTTTGCATTTCTCGATTTTGCAATTTTTGAATTGAATTTTTCGATTTTACGAGTTTGCGATTTGTCGATTTCTCAATTTTCGATCTACCGATTTTTCGACCTTTTGATTTTTTCGGTTTTTCAGTTTTTTAAATTTTCGGTTTTTTTATTTTTCGACTTGTTCATTTTTCGTCTTTTCGATTTCCAGATTTCTCAATTTTCAGTTTTGGAATTTTTCAATTTCTCAAATTTACAATTTTTCAGTTTTTGAATTTTCAATTTCTCGGTTATTCAATTTTTTAATTTATCGATTTTTTGATTTTCCCATTTCTCTGTTTCTTGATTTTTCAGTTTTTCAATTTTTCGATCTTTCAGGTTTTTGAATTTTCAATTTTTATAATTTTCGGGTTTTCGATTTTTCAATGTTTCGGTTTTGTGATTTCTCAATTTTTCGACTTTTAAAATTTTCGATTCTCAGCTTTTTTTATTTTTCGATTTCTGCAATTTATGATTTTTCAGTTTTTTGCGGTTCTCGATTTTTCAATTTTTGGCGTTTCTAAATTTTCGACTTTTCAAATTTTCGGTTTCTCGATTTATCGACTTTTTGATTTTCCCATTTCCCGATTTTCCAACTGCTCGATTTTTCAGTTGTTCATTTTTTCGATTTCACTTGACGATTTTTCAATAATTCTCAATTTTTCAATGTTTAAATTTTGGGATTTTTCGATTCTTCGGTTTTTTAATTTTTTGGTTTATCGATTTATCAATTTTTGAAGTTTCTAAATTTTCGATTAATCGGTTTGTGGATTCAATTTTTCGGTTTTTTTACTTGACGAATTTTCGACATTCCGATTTCTCGATTTTTCAATTTTACAATTTTTATTAACTTTTAAATTTTTTGATTTATCAATTTAAATTTTCAATTTTTAGCATTTCTAAATGTTCAGTTTTCGTTTCTGCATCTTTTAGATTTTTCGATTTGAAAATTTCTCGATTTTTTGATGTTTTCTCTTTTGGGATTTTTCAATATTTTTTGATTTTTCGTTCCATCAACTTTTAGATTTTTCGATTTTTTTAAATTTTTTAAATTTTCGGTTTTTCAATTTCCTACATTTCGATTTCACGATTTTGCAATTTTTCGATATTGCAGTTGGGATTTTTCAATATTTTACATTCTTCAATTTTACGATTTTCAATCTTTGGCGTTTCGAAGTTTTTGATTTTTCGTTCCATCAACTTTTAGATTTTTCGGTTTTTTTTTTTTTGATTTTTTAAATTTTCGGTTTTTCAATTTTTCGATTTCTTCGTGTTTCGATTTCTTCAACTTTTCAATATTTCGGCTGCAAGATTTTTCGATTCTGTAGTTTTTCAATTTTTCGAATTTTCAGGTTTTTTATCTTCGTTTTTTAAATTTTCGGTTTTCCGACTTCTAGATTTCTCAATTTTTCGATTTGTCAGTGTTTTGATGTTTTAGTTTTGGGATTTTTCAGTATTTTCCATTCTTGAATTTTTTGATTTTTTAAATTTTAGATTTTTCGATTTTCCTGTTTTTTGATGTTTCGATTTCTCAATTTGACGCTTTTCAATTTTTGGGGTTTCTAAATTTTCGATTTTGCGTTTCTTCCAACTTTTCGATTTTTCGACTTCTAAATTTATATGACTTTTCATATTCTCGATTTTTCCCTTTTCAATTTATAAGTTTTTGATTTTTGTTTCGTTTTTAATTTTTTTTGTACTTTTCAATTTTCGATTACTCAGATTTTGGAATTTTCAGCTTTTCAGTTTTTTGATGTTTCGATTTCTCGATTTTTTTATTTTACAATTTTTCAGTTTTACGATTTTTCAACTTTTTGATTTTTCAACATTTACATTTTTTGATGTTTCAATTTTCAACAGTTTCGGTTTTTTGATTTTTAGACTAGACGATTTTTCGACTTTTCGATTTTTAAACTGTTCAGTTTCTCAATTCAAATTTTCAGGTTTTTGATTTAATTTTTTTTTAATTTTCAGTTTTTGCGGATTTTTAAAATTTTAGATTTTTCTTTTTTTTTTTGTTTCGATTTATTGATTTCTAAATTTTACGATTTTTCAATTTTTGGCGTTTCTAAATTTTTGATTTTTCGTTCCATCAACTTTTAGATTTTTCGATTTTTTTCATTTTTTTAAATTTTCGGTTTTTCAATTTCCTACATTTCGATTTCTCGATTTTGCAATTTTTCGATATTGCAGTTTTGGGATTTTTCAATATTTTGCATTTGTGAATTTTTCAATTTTTGGCGTTTCTAAATTTTCGATTTTTGGTTTCTTCAACTTTTCAATTGCAATTTTGAGATTTTTCAATATTTCCATCTTCAATTTTTCGATACTCAAATTTTGGAATTTTCAGCTTTATGATTTTTCAACTTTTTGATTTTTCAACTTTTCGATTTTTGAACTGTTCGATTTTTCAATTTTTTAAATTTTCGACTTCTCGATTTTTCAAATTTCGATTTCTTGATTTTTTAATTCTTCGATTTTTCAATTTCTCGATTCTGCAGTTTCTCAATTCAATTTTTCAGGTTTTTGGTTTAAATTTTTTTTTAATTTTCAGTTTTTCGCCTTCCGGATTTGCGGATTTTTTAATTCTTCGATTTCTCAAATTTCCAATTTTTCATTTTTTGCCGTTTCTAAATTTTCGATTTTTCAATTCTCAGTTAATCGATTTTGCATATTACCAATTTTTGGATTTTCTGACTGCTCGATTTCTGGAATTTTTCAATTTCTCAAATTTACAATTTTTCAGTTTTTGGCGTTTTTGAATTTTCAATTTCTCGGTTAATCAATTTTTTAATTTATCGATTTTTTGTTTTTCCCATTTCTCTATTTTCGACTTCTTGATTTTTCAGTTTTTCAATTTTTCGATCTTTCAGGTTTTTGAATTTTCAATTTTTCGATTTTTCAAATTTTCGATTCTCAGCTTTTTTTATTTTCCGATTTCTGAAATTTATGATTTTTCAATTTTTTGCGTTTCTCGATTTTTCAATTTTTGGCGTTTCTAAATTTTCGACTTTTCAACTTTTCGGTTTCTCGATTTATCGACTTTTTGATTTTCCCATTTCCCGATTTTTCAACTGCTCGATTTTTCAGTTGTTCATTTTTTCGATTTTTCTCTTGACGATTTTTTCTCAATTTTTCAATGTTTTAATTTTGGGATTTTTCGATTCTTCGGTTTTTTAATTTTTTGGTTTATCGATTTATCAACTTTTGGAGTTTCTAAATTTTCGATTAATCGGTTTGTGTCGACATTTCGATTTCTCGATTTTTCAATTTTACGATTTTTAACTTTTAGATTTTTTTATTTATCCATTTAAATTTTCAATTTTTGGCATTTCTAAATGTTCAGTTTTCGTTTCTGCATCTTTTAGATTTTTCAATTTGACCATTTTTCGAGTTCTCGATTTCTTGATTTTTTGTTTTCTCTTTTGGGATTTTTCAATACATTCTTCAATTTTTCGATTTTTAAAATTTTAGATTTTTCTTTTTTTTTGTTTCGATTCATTGATTTCTAAATTTTACGATTTTTCAATTTTTCAATTTTTGGCGTTTCTAAATTTTTGATTTTTCGTTCCATCAACTTTTAGATTTTTCGATTTTTTTGATTTTTTTAAATTTCCTGCATTTCGATTTCTCGATTTTGCAATTTTTCGATATTGCAGTTTTGGAATTTTTCAATATTGTGCATTTGTCAATTTTTCAATTTTTGGCGTTTCTAAATTTTCGATTTTTGGTTTCTTCAACTTTTCAATTGCAATTTTGAGATTTTTCAATATTTCCATCTTCAATTTTTTAATTTTTCGTTTTGTTTTTAAAAATTTTTTACTTTTCAATTTTTCGATTACTCAAATTTTGGAATTGTCAGCTTTACGATTTTTCAACTTTCCGATTTTTGAAGTGTTCGATTTTTCAATTTTTTAAATTTTCGACTTCTCGATTTTTCAAATTTCGATTTCTGGATTTGTGGATGTATTAATTCTTCGATTTCTTTAATTTCCAATTTTTCATTTTTAGCCGTTTCTAAATTTTCGATTTTTCAATTCTCAGTTAATCGATTTTGAAAATTACCAATTTTTCGATTTTTCAGTTTTTGATTTAATTTTTTTTTAATTTTCGGTTTTTCGACTTCTAGATTTCTCGACTTTTCAGTTTTTCGATTTATCAGTGTTTTGATATTCCAATTTTACGATTTTTCAATTCTTCGATAGTTCTATAACTCTTCTATGATGTAATCTACATTACTAAATCAAACTCGTCTCTCTCGTTTCCAGTATACGAAAAAGCCAAAAAAATAGTCCAATTCAAAGAAACCGTCGACGTGAAAACCGCCGACAAGGAGCCCGAGGACATAGAAATCAACGAAGAGAAAATCGACCGCCTCCTGCACCTCCTCCACGAGGCCGACCCCACCAACCCCGAGACCGACACCGAGGAGATGCTGAAATTGGAGCGCGAAGTGAACGGCATGGGACCCCTGATCGACTCCGAGCTGGAAAGGGTGGACCGGAAGCACGCCCAACTCACCCAACTCAGCGCCGACCTCGTCGAGGCCCTCAGCTTGTACCACACGCTGATGCGCGAGCCACAGTTCCCTCCGAAGCTGCCTTATAACTTTAGCCAGATGGCGCCGCCGCCGCCCAACTCGATGGTGCCGCCGCAGCCCGCCTACAACGGCCTGCCGCCGCCGCCCGCGTCGATGATGCAGCCCGGGATGGCGCCGCCGCCCATGCACTACGGCACGCTGCCGATGATGCCGCCGGCCGGCATGGGCGGCCTGCCGCCGCCGCACAGCCTGCCGCCGGGGATGGGGCCCTTCATGATGCAGCAGATGCCCGACGAGAGGAGGTAAAAACTGTCCTATCTGTTTCGTGGTAATGTTGGGTGTGTTTCAGAGGACACAGTTATGGCACCATGGTGCATCCGAGTTTTCCCCCGAATGTTGCGACGTCGTCGCACACTCTCATACACAACGGACCTCCTCAGTCGCAAAGTCAACACTATATGCCTGCTTCAAGCTCTAATCCAAAGTAGTGGGCCTTGCAAGAATCCTGTTATTTTTCTTTATAACCGATGTGATTTGACTATTTAGTTATTTTGATAATATCGTGTTTATAGGTATTTCTTCACTATCCCCACCACTTTGGTTTATTTATTACCTACGAGAGTTGATATTAAGTTGGGGACAGACGTGCGTGCGGTGCAGACAGTGAAGAGATTATTAAGTAATATTGTAGACTTGATGTAAAGAAAAATATGTATATGAATAAATTTTATCAAGAAATTATTATTGAAGTGTAAACCGGTACTTTTTTTTACCCTTCCCAGCATCGAAAAAATTGCTAGAACGTTATGACTTCGAAAATGGGCGAAATTTATAGAAAGAGCATATATTTAACCACGCCCACCCACCCCGCCTCCATTTCAGTGACTCATTTTATCTAGTCTGAAAGGTGGATCTTATATTCAACGGAAATAAAATCCTTTAAATGAGTAGTGCCTGCTAAGATAAGACCGATTTTGTTAAATGACATATTCTCTAAGAAAATAAAGGGTGGGTGGGCGGGGCTAGTATTTGCTAAGATAAGACTGATTGTTTTCAATGACATGAAATAAAACTTCTTTTAACAGCCTACGTTCTATTAGTAGTAAATTTTTCAAGTTTTTGATTATTTTTTTTTTATTTTCGGTTTTTCGTTGTTTCAACTTTTTAAATTTTCGGTTTTTCGATTTTTTTCATTTTAAATTTTTTTTAGTTTTCGATTCTTCAATATTTCAATGTTTTAGTTTTAGGATTTTTCAATTTCTCAATTTTTCATTTTTGCCGTTTTTAAATTTTCAGTTTTTCAATTTCTCGATTCTACAGTTTTCAATTGAATTTTTCAGGTTTTTGTTTTTAATTTTCGGTTTTTCGACTTCTAGATTTCTCGATTTATCAGTGTTTTGATATTTATTTCAGTTTTGGGATTTTTCAATATTTTCTATTCTTCAGTTTTTCGATTTTTCGGATTTTTCAATATTTTCTATTCTTCAGTTTTTCGATTTTTCGTTTCTAGTTTTTACTTTTTCAATTTTAAATTTTTTAGATTTTTGATGTTTCGATTTCTCAGTTTTCCGATTTTCAATTTTTGGCGTTTCGAAATTTTAGGTTTTTTGATTTTTCAAATTTTCTAAATTTTCTGTATTTTGATTTTTCCTCTTTTCGATTTCTCAGTTTTCAGTGTTTCAGTTTTGGAATTTTTCGCTTCATGAATTTGTCGATTTCTTGGTTTTTCAATTTTTGGCATTTTTGAATTTTCAATTTCTAGAGTTTCCGACTTTTTTATTTTCCCATTTCTCGATTTTTCAGTTTTTCAATTTTTTAAATTTTCGGTTTTTCGATTTTTCAACTTGACGATTTTTCGACTTTTCGATCTTTCAATGTTTGGGTTTTGGGATTTTCAACTTTTCCATTTTTAAAATTTTCGATTTCTGAAATTTACGATTTTTCAATTTTTGCGTTTCTAAATTTTCGATTTTTCGACATCGATTTCTCGATTTTATTGATTTCTCTAATTCTCCTTTCTTTACTTCTCGATTTTGCAATTTTTCAATTCGATTTTATGGATTTCGATTTCTCAATGTTCCGAAGTTTCAATTTTGCCATTCTTTAATGTTTAGATTTTTCGATTTTTGGCGTTTCTAAAATTTCGATTTTTCGACTTTTCAACTTTTCCGTTTTCCAGTTTCTCGATTTTTCGACTTTTTGATTTTCCCATTTCCCGATTTTTCAGTTCAATTTTTCGATTTTTTGGGTTTTTGATTTTTCAATTTTTCATTTGACGATTTTTTAACTTTTCAATTTCTCAATTTTTCAATGTTTTAATTTTGGAATTTTTCGATTTTTAGATTTATTAAATTTTCGATTTTTCGACTTTTCCATTTCTCGATTTTTCACTTTAAAAATATTAGAGTCTTGGAATTTTTCAATATTTTCCATTTTTCAATTTTTCGATTTCTTAATGTTTCGATTTTTCAATTTTTGGCGTTTCTAAATTTTCGTTTCTTCAACTTTTCAACATTTCGACTGCTGGATTTCTCAGTTCAATTTTTTTATTTTTCAGGTTTTTTATCCTAGTTTTTTAAATTTTCGGTTTTCCGACTTGACGATTTTTCGATTTATCAGTGTTTTGATGTTTCTGTTTTGGGATTTTCAATATTTTCCATTCTTGAATATTTAGATTTTTCAATTTTTAGCGTTTCTCAATTTTAGATTTTTCGTTTCTTCATCTTTTCAGTATTTCGACTTTAAATTTTTCGATTTTTCGTTTCGTTTTTTAAAGGTTTTTACTTTTCTATTTTTCGATTACTCAAATTTTGGAATTTTCAATTTTTCAGTTTTACGATTTTCAACGTTTTGATTTTTCTACATTTAGATTTTTCAGTGTTTCAATTTTTTTAATTTTTGGTTTTTCGATTTTTCGATTTTTTGATTTTTCAGTTGTTTAAATTTTCAACTTCTCAATTTTTCAATATTTCAATGTTTCAAATTTAGGATTTTTTAATTTTTGGCGTTTCTAAATTTTCGATTTTTCGCTTTAACTTTTTGAATTTTCAACTTTTCGTATTCTCGATTTTTCACTTTTTCAATTTATCAGTTTTTTGATACTTCAGTTTTGAGATTTTTCAATATTTCCATCTTCAATGTTTTCATTTTTCGTTTCGTTTTTACATTTTTTGTAGTTTTCAATTTTTCGATTACTCAAATTTTGAAATATTCAATCTTTCAGTTTTACGGTTTTTCAACTAACTTTTTTATTTTTCGACATTTAGGTTTTTTGATGTGTCAATTTTTTTAATTTTCGGTTTTTCGATTTTTTCATTTTTAAATTTTTTTAATTTTCGACTCTTCGATTTTTCAATATTTCAGTGTTTCAGTTTTGGGATTTTTCAATTTTTCGTTTCAGCAATTTACCTCGATTTTTCATTTTTGCCGTTTTTAAATTTTCGATTTTTCAATTTCTCGATTCTGCAGTTTTTCAATTGAATTTTTCAGGTTTTTGTTTTTTTTTTTAATTTTCGGTTTTTCGACTTTTTGGCGTTTCTAAATTCTCGATTTTTCGCTTTTAACTTTTCGATTTTTCGACTTTTCGTATTCTCGATTTTACAATTTATCAGTTTTTTGATGCTTCAGTACTGAGATTTTTTTCAATATTTCCATCTTCAATGTTTTGATTTTTCGTTTCGTTTTTCAATTTTTTTTTAATTTTCAATTTTTCGATTACTCAAATTTTGATATTTTCAATTTTTCAACTTTTTGATTTTTCGACATTCAGGTTTTTTGATTTTTCAAATTTCTGATATTTCAATTTTGGCCGTTTTTAAATTTTCGATTTTTAAATTTCTCGATTCTGCTGCTTTTCAATTCAATTTTTCAGGTTCTTGATTAATTTTTTTTTAATTTTCGGTTTTTCGACCTTTTGATGCTTCAATTTTTTAGATTGTAATAGTGTGTCGATTTTTTCTATTTATAATTTTTTCAATTTTTCGTTTCAGCAATTTCTGGATTTTTCATTTTTGCCGTTTTTAAAATTTCGATTTTTCAATTTCTCGATTCTGCAGTTTTTCTATTGAATTTTTCAGGTTTTTGTTTTTAATTTTTTTTTTAATTTTCGGTTTTTCGACTTGATGAATTTTCGACTTCTAGTTTTGACATTTCACTTTTGGGATTTTTAAATTTTTCGGGTTTTCCACTTTTCGATATCTCGATTTTTTACTTTTTCCACTTTTCAATTTTTCGATTTCTACTATGTTTTTTCGATTTTTAAAATTTTAGATTTTTCAACTTTTAGATTTTAGATTTTTCAATTTTTGGCGTTTCTAAATTTTCAATTTTTCAGGTTTTTGATCTTGGAGTTTTTTAAATTTTCGGATTTTCCATTTGACGATATTTCGACTTCTCGATTTTTCGATTTATCAATGTTGATGTTTCAGTTTTGGATTTTTAGATTTTTTAAATCTTTGATTTTTCAATTTTTCGTTTTTTTTTTGGTGTTTCGATTTTTTGATTTTTCAATTTAAAAATATTTCAGTTTTGGGATTTTTCAATATTTTCCATTCTTCAATTTTTCGATTTTTTACGTTTTCAATTTTTCGATTTCTTAATGTTTCGATTTTTCAATTTTACGATTCTCAATTTTTGGCGTTTCTAAATTTTACATTTTTCGTTTCTTCATCTTTTCAATATTTTGACTTTAAATTTTTCGAATTTTCGTTTCGTCTTTTAAATTTTTTTACTTTTCTATTTTTCGATTACTCAAATTTTGTAATTTTCAATTTTTCAGTTTTACGATTGTTCAACGTTTTGATTTTTCTACATTTAGATTTTTTGGTGTTTCAATTTTTTAAATTTTCGGTTTTTCGATTTTTCGACTTTTCGATTTTTGAACTATTCGATTTTTTTATTTTTCAGTTATTTAAATTTTCAACTTCTCAATTTTTCAATATTTCAATGTTTCAATCTCAGGTTTTTTTCAATTTTTGGTATTTCAAAATTTTCGATTTTTCGCTTTAACTTTTCGATTTTTCGACTTTTCGTATTCTCGATTTTTCATTTTTTCAATTTATCAGTTCTTTGATACTTCAGTTTTGAGATTTTTCAATATGTATTTCCATCTCAATGATTTTTCGTTTCGTTTTTTAATTTTTTTTACTTTTCAATTTTTCGATTACTCAAATTTTGAAATTTTTAATCTTTCAGTTTTACGTTTTTTCAACTTTTTGATTTTTCGGCATTCAGGTTTTTTGATGTTCAATTTTCAAAATTTTCGGTTTTTCGATTTTTAGACTTGACGATTTTTCGATTTTTGAACTACATATTCGATTTTTTGATTTATTTTTCAGTTTTTTAAATTTTCGACTTCCCAATTTTTCACTATTTCAATGTTTCAGTTTTGGGAATTTTCAATTTTTTGTTTCATCAATTTCTCAATTTTTCATAATTTGGATTTCTCGATTTTTTACAATTCTTCGATTTTTCAAATTTCTGATATTTCAATTTTTGCCATTTTTAAATTTTCCATTTTTAAATTTCTCGATTCTGCAGTTTTTTAATTCAATTTTTCAGGTTTTTGATTAATTTTTTTTTTAATTTTCGGTTTTACGACCTTTTGATGTTTCAATTTTTTAAATTTTCGCTTGTTCGATTTTTTCATTTTTAAATTTTTTTAATTTTCGACTTCGATTTTTCAATATTTCAGTGTTTCAGTTTTAGGATTTTTCAATTTTTCGTTTCAGCAATTTTCGATTTTTCAATTTCTCGATTCTGCAGTTTTTCAATTGAATTTTTCAGGTTTTTGTTTTTAATTTTCGGTTTTTCGGCTTGATGAATTTTCGACTTCAAGATTTCTCTATATTTCAATTTTTTGATATTTCAGTTTTGGGATTTTTAAATTTTTCGAGTTTTCCACTTTTCGATATCTGGATTTTTTACTTTTTCCACCTTTCAATTTTTCGATTTTTCTAGTGTTTGGTGTTTCGATTTTTAAAATTTTAGATTTTCCAAATTTAGGATTTTTTTGTTTCGATTTCTCCATTTTTTCAATTTTAAGATTTTTCAACTTTTAGATTTTTTGATTTTTCAATTTTTGGGCGTTTCTAAATTTTCAATTTTTCAGGTTTTTGATATTGGAGTTTTTTAAATTTTCGGATTTTCCATTTGACGATATTTCGACTTGTCGATTTTTCGATTTATCAGAGTTTTGATGTTTCAGTTTTAGGATTTTTCAATTTTTGGCATTTCTAAATTTTCGATTTTTCGCTTTAACTTTTCGATTTTTCGACTTTTCACTTTTTCAGTTTATCAGTTTTTTGATACTTCAATTTTGAGATTTTTCAATATTTCCATCTTCAATATTTTGATTTTTCGTTTGGTTTTTAATTTTTTTTACTTTTCAGTTTTTCGATTACTCAAATTTTGAAATTTTCAATCTTTCAGTTTTACGCTTTTTCAACTTTTTGATTTTTCGACATTCAGGTTTTTTGATGTTTCAATTTTCAAATGTTTAGGTTTTTCGATTTTTAGACTAGACGATTTTTCGACTTTTCGATTTTTGGACTACATATTCGATTTTTTGATTTTTCAGATTTTTAAATTTTGGACTTCTCAATTTTTCAATATTTCAATGTTTCAGTTTTGGGAATTTTCAATTTTTTGTTTCATCAATTTCTCAACTTTTCATAATTTGGATTTATCGATTTTTTACAATTCTTCGATTTTTCAAATTTCTGATAATTTCAATTTTTGCCATTTTTAAATTTTCGATTTTTAAATTTCTCGATTCTGCAGTTTTTTAATTCAATTTTTCAGGTATTTGATAATTTTTTTGTAATTTTCGGTTTTTCGACCTTTTGATGTTTCAATTTTTTAAATTTTCGCTTTTTCGATTTTTTCATTTTTAAATTTTTTTAATTTTCGACTTCGATTTTTCAGTTTTAGGATTTTTCAATTTTTCGTTTCAGCGATTTCTCGATTTTTCATTTTTGCCGTTTTAAAATTTTTGATTTTTAAATTTCTCGATTCTGCAATTTTTCAATTGAATTTTTCAGGTTTTTGTTTTTAATTTTCGGTTTTTCGACTTGATGAATTTTCGACTTCTAGATTTCTTGATATTTCAACTTTTCGATTTATCAATTTTTTGATATTTCAGTTTTGGGATTTTTAAATTTTTCGAGTTTTCCACTTCGATATCTCGATTTTTTACTTTTTCCACTTTTCAATTTTTCGGGGATGGGGCCCTTCATGATGCAGCAGATGCCCGACGAGAGGAGGTAAAAACCGTCTTATCTGTTTCGTGGTGACCGAATTTTGGGTGTGTTTCAGAGGACACAGTTATGGCACCATGGTACATCCGAGCTTTCCCCCGAATGTTGCGACGTCGTCGCACACTCTCATACACAACGGACCTCCTCAGTCGCAAAGTCAACACTATATGCCTGCTTCAAGCTCTAATCCAAAGTAGTGGGCCTTGCAAGAATCCTGTTATTTTTCTTTATAACCGATGTGATTTGACTATTTAGTTATTTTGATAATATCGTGTTTATAGGTATTTCTTCACTATCCCCACCACTTTGGTTTATTTATTACCTACGAGAGTTGATATTAAGTTGGGGACAGACGTGCGTGCAGTGCAGACAGTGAAGAGATTATTAAGTAATATTGTAGACTTGATGTAAAGAAAAATATGTATATGAATAAATTTTATCAAGAAATTATTATTGAAGTGTAAACCGGTATTTTTTTTACCTTTCCCAGCATCGAAAAAAATACTCGAAGAGCATATATTTAACGACGCCCACCCACCCCGCCTCCATTTCAGTGACTCATTTTATCTAGTCTGAAAGGTGGATTCAACAGAAATAAAATCCTTTGAATGAGTAGTGTCTGCTAAGATAAGACCGATTTTGTTAAATGACATATTCTCTAAGAAAATAAAGGGTGGGTGGGCGGGGCTAGTACTTGCTAAGATAAGACTGATTGTGTCGAATGACATGAAATAAAACTTTGTTTTAACAGCCTACGTTCTATTAATAGTAAATTTTTCAGGTTTTTGATAATTTTTTTTTAATTTTCGGTTTTTCGACTTCTAGATTTCTCTATTATTTAAATTTTTCGATTTATCAATGTTTTGATATTTCAGTTTTAGGGATTTTTCAATATTTTCTATTCTTCAATTTTTCGTTTCCATTTTTTATTTTTTCAGTTTAAAATCTTTCAATTTTTTAGATTTTTGATATTTCGATTTCTCAATTTTCCGATTTTCATTTTTTGGCGTTTCTAAATTTTAGATTTTTTGATTTTTCCATTTTTTAATTTTTCAAATTATTTAAATTTTCTGTATTTTGATTTTTCGTCTTTTCGATTTCTCAATTTTCAGTGTTTCAGTTTTGGAATTTTTCAATTTTTCGCTTCATGAATTTTTCGATTTTTCGGTTTTTCAATTTTTGGCATTTTTGAATTTTCAATTTCTAGAGTTTTCGATTTTTTTATTTTCTCATTGCTCGATTTTTCTGTTTTTTAATTTTTCGATCTTTCAGGTTTTTGAATTTTTAGTTTTTCGATATTTCAACTTGACGGTTTTTCGATTTTTCAATGTTTGGGTTTTGGGATTTTCAATTTTTCCATTTTTCAAATTTTCGATTTCCAGATTTTTTAATTTTTCGATTTCTGAAATTACGATTTTTGAATTTTTGCGTTTCTAAATTTTCGATTTTTTGACTTATCGATTTCTCGATTTTATTGATTTAGCAATTTTTCAATTCAATTTTTCGATTTTATGGATTTCGATTTCTCAATTTTCCAAAGTTTCAATTTTGCCACTCTTTAATGCTTCGATTTTTGGAGTTTCTAAAATTTCGATTTTTCAAGTTTTCAACTTTTCCGTTTTTCGGCTTCTCGATTTTTCAAATTTTTGATTTTCCCATTTCCCGATTTTTTAACTGCTCGATTTTTCAGTTCAATTTTTTCGACTTTTCAAATTCTCAATTTTTCAATGTTTTATTTTGGGATTTTTCGATTTTTAAATTATTCATTTTATCGATTTACTTATCAGTTTTTGGAGTTTCTAAATTTTCGACTTCTCGATTAATCAGTTTGTCAATCTAATTTTTCGGTTTTTCGAATTGACGATTTTTCGATTTCTCAATTTGTCAATTTTTTGATGTTTCAGTTTTGGGATTTTTGAATATTTTCCATTCTTCAAATTTTCGATTTTTCTTTTCGATTTTCTAGTTTTTCAATTTTTCGATTATTAAAATTTTAGATTTTAAATTATTTATTTATGTTTAGATTTCTCCATTTTTTTTTAATTTTCAATTTTTATCGTTTCTAAATTTTCGATTTTTCAGGTTTTTGATCTTGGAGTTTTTTAAATTTTCGGATTTTCGATTTGACGATTTTTCGATTGATCAGTGTTTTGATGTTTCAGTTTTGAGATTTTTCAATATCTTCCATTCTTCAATTCTTCGTTTTTTGGTGTTTCGAATTTTTGATTTTTCAATTTTTTAAATTTTCGGTTTTTCGAATTTTCGACTTTTCGATTTCTCGATTTTTCAATTTAAAAATATTTCAGTTTTAGAATTTTTCAATATTTTCCATTTTTCGATTTCTTAATGTTTCGATTTTTCAATTTTACGATTTTCATTTTTTGACGTTTCTAGATTTTCGTTTCTTCAACTTTTCAGCATTTCGACTGCTGGATTTCTCAGTTCTTTATTTTTCGTGTTCAATTTTTTTACTTTTCGGGTTTTTTATCCTAGTTTTTTAAATTTTCGGTTTTCCGAGTTGACGATTTTTCGATTTATCAGTGTTTTGATGTTTCAGTTTTGGATTTATCAATATTGAATTTTTTGATTTTTTAAATTTTAGATTTTTCAATTTTTGGCGTTTCTTAATTTTAGATTTTTCGTTTCTTCATCTTTTCAATATTTCGACTTTAAATTTTTCGATTTTTCAATGTTTTTAAAATTTTTTTTACTTTCCGATTTTTCAACGTTTTGATTTTTCTACATTTAGATTTTTGCTGTTTCGATTTTTAAACTATTCGATTTGATTTTTCAGTTATTTAAATTTTCAACTTCTCAATTTTTCAATGTTTCAGTTTTAGAATTTTTTAATTTTTGGCGTCTCTAAATTTTCGATTTTTCGCTTTAACTTTTCGATTTTTCGACTTTAAATTGTTCCACTTTTCGTATTCTCGATTTTTCACTTGTTCAATTTATCAGTTTTTTGATACTTCAGTTTTGAGATTTTTCAATATCTCCATCTTCAATGTTTTGATTTTTCGTTTCGTTTTTTATTTTTTTTTTACTTTTCAATTTTTCGATTACTCAAAATTTAAAATTTCCAATCTTTCAGTTTTACGCTTTTTCAACTTTTTGATTTTTCGACATTTAGGTTTTTTGATGTTTCAATTTTTAAAAGTTTCGATTTTTAGAATAGACGATTTTGCGACTTTTCGATTTTTGAACTACATATTCGATTTTTTGATTTTTCAGTTTTTAAAATTTTCGACTTCTCAATTTCACAATTTTTAATAATTTGGATTTCTCGATTTCTTACAATTCTTCGATTTTTCAAATTTCTGATATTTCAATTTTTGCCGTTTTTAAATTTTCGCTTTTTAAATTTCTCGATTCTGCAGTTTTTCAATTCAATTTTTCAGGTTTTTGATTTTTTTTTAATTTTCGGTTTTTCGACCTTTTGATGTTCAATTTTTTAAATTTTCGGTTTTTGGATTTTTTCATTTTTATTTTTTTTTTAATTTTCGACTCTTCGATTTTTCAATATTTCAGTGTTTCAGTTTTAGGATTTTTCAATTTTTCGTTTCAGCAATTTCTCGATTTTTCATTTTTGCCGTTTTTAAATTTTCGATTTTTCAATTTCTCGATTCTGCAGCTTTTCAATTGAAATTTTCAGATTTTTGTTTTTAATTTTCTGTTTTTCGACTTGATGAATTTTCGACTTCTAGATTTCTGGATATTTCGATTTTTCGATTTATCAATTATTTGATATTTCAGTTTTGGGATTTTTAAGTTTTTCGAGTTTTCCACTTCGATATTATCTCGATTTTTTACTTTCTCCATTTTTTCGATTTCTATGTTTTAGATTTTTCAATTTTTCTAGTGTTTGGTGTTTCGATTTCTAGGTTTTTTCGATTTTTCAAATTTTAGATTTTTTTATTTCGATTTCTCCATTTTTTTCAATTTTAAGATTTTTCAACTTTTGGATTTTTTGATTTTTCAATTTTTGGCGTTTCTAAATTTTGAATTTTTCAGGTTTTTGATGTTGGAATTTTTTAAATTTTCGGATTTTCCATTTGACGATATTTCAACTTCTCGATTTTTCGATTTATCAGTGTTTTGATGTTTCAGTTTTGGATTTTGCAATATTTTCCATTTTTCAATTTTTCGATTTTTTACATTTTCAATTTTTCGATATTTTAAATCTTTGATTTTTCAATTTTTCGTTTTTTTTTGGTGTTTCGATTTTTTGATTTTTCGATTTTTTACTTTTTCAATTTTTTGGCGTTTCTAAATTTTCGTTTCTTCAACTTTTCTACATTTCGACTACTGGATTTCTCAGTTCCTTAGTTTTGCAGTTCAATTTTTTGATTTTTCAAGTTTTTTATCCTAGTTTTTTAAATTTTCGGTTTTCTGACTTGACGATTTTTCGATTTATCAGTGTTTTGATGTTTCAGTTTTGGGATTTTTCAATATTTTCTATTCTTGAATTTTTTGATTTTTTAAATTTTAGATTTTTCAATTTTTAGCGTTTCTAAATTTGAGATTTTTCGTTTCGTTTTTTAAATTTTTTTACTTTCCGATTTTTCAACGTTCTGATTTTTCTACACTTGGATTTTTTATCTTTCGTGTTTTCCGTGTTAAATTTTGCAGTTTCTCGGTTTTTCAGTTTACCGTTTCTTCAGTTTTTGATTTGCAATTTATATAGTTTTCATTTCCGATTTTACGATTTTAGAATTTTTCAATTATTCAACCTCTTCATTTATCAAATTTTTCACTTTTTCGATTTGTAAATTTTCCATTTCCCGATATTTAATTTTTCAATTTTTAGATCTTTCTATATTACAGTTTTCCGACTTTACAATTTTTGGGTTTTCCGATTTTTCGATTCGATTTATTTCTTTTTTCTTTCCAATTTTGATTCATTAAGATTTTCGATTTTTCGTTTTTTCGACTTTTCGATTTTTTAAATGTTTCATCATTTCAGTTTTTTACAATTTTTTGATTTTTAATTTTTTCCATATTTTATCTCTTCAGTTATTTAAATTTTTGATTTTTCAATTTTTTAGTCCTTCGATATTTCTATTTTAAATTTTCCAAATTTTTGATTTTTCATTTTTCAATTTTTTGATTTTACGATTTTTTGATGTTGCGATTTCTTAATATCTCGGTTGTTATTTAACAACAAAATCGAAAAACTGAAAAGTCAATAAATAGAAAAATCAAAAACCTGAAAAATGGAAAACTTAAAAAATCAAAAAACTGAAAAATTGAAACATTGAAAAATCGAGAAGTCGAGAAATAAGAAAAATAATCGGTTAATGAAAAAATTGAGAAATCAAACACCCAAAATTTACAAAATCGAGAATTTGAAAATGATCAATCTGAAATGACGAAACATTGGCAAATCGAAAATTTTTAAAATCTAAAAATTGGAAAATCGAAGTCTAAAAATCGGAAATCGAACCATCAAAAATTCAAAAAGTGAAACATCCAGAAATCAAGAAACAGAAAAGTCGAAACATCGAAATTTTGAGAAATTGAAAGTGGCCAAAATGGAAAAATCAAAAATTGAAAAATTGGAAATTTTAAAAGTCATAAAATTGAAAAACCGATAAATCGAGAAGTAGAAAAACCGTAATATCGCGAAATGGAAACATAAAAAAAACTGAAAAATCGAAAAACTAAACAACACCGAAATCTCGATACAACGGGATATCGAAAAATTAGAAAACTGAAAAGTCGAAAAATAGAAAAATCAAAAACCTGAAAAACGGAAAACTCAAAAAATCGAAAAACTGAAGAATTGAAAAACTGAAAAATCGAAACATTGAAAGGTGGAGAAGTCGAGATATAAGAAAATAAAAAAAATCGATTAATAGAAAAATTGAAGAATTGAAAAATGAAGAAACCAGAAATTTAATAATCAAGAAATAGAAAATTTTAATAAAAATCAAGAAATACAAACATTTTAATGATCAAGAAATTGAACAATCGATAAATTAAAAAATCCCATCCGTTCCAAAACCGAAGTGACGAAACAAAGGAAAGTCGAAAAATTTAAAAAGGAAAAATCGAAACATCGAAAATTCAAAAAATAAACATCGAGAAATCAGGGAATGGAAAAGTAGATAAATCGAAAAATTAAGAAACTGAAATAGGCAAAATCGAAAAATTGAAATATCGAAGTAGTGATAAATCGAAAAATCTAAAATTTAAATAATTGAAAAATTCAAATATCGGAAAAATTAAGAATCAAAAAACGCAAAAATCGGAAAATCGAAAAACGAAAAACCGAGAAATCAAACATCCAAAATTGAAAAAATTGGAAAATTGAAGAATCGAGGATTTGAAAAGTTCCAAAACTAAAATGACAAACATTGAGAACTCGAAAAATTTTAAAATCTAAAAATTGGGAAATCCAAACATCAAAAATTCAAAAATTGGAGCATGGAGAAATCAAGAAACTGGAAAGTCGAAAAATCCAAAAATTAAAAAATTGAAATTGGCCAAAATGGGAAAATTAACAACTGAAAAATTGAAAATTTTAAAATTAAAAAAAAACTGATAAACTGTAAGATCTACAAATTTTAAAAGCGAAAAATCAAAAATTTGAAAAGTTGTAAAATTGAAAAACCGAAAAATCTAGAACCGAGAAGTAGAAAAACCGTAAGATCTAAACATAGAAACATCAAAAAACTGAAAAATCAAAAATTTAAAAATCGAAAAATTGGACCATATTGAAATCTCCACAAAATTGAAAAGTCCAAAAACGGGAAACTTTAAAAATCGAAAAACTGAGAAATCGAATCATTGAAAGGTCGAGAAGTCAAGAAATAAGAAAATAAAAAATGGATTAATCGAAAAATTCAGAAATCGAAAAATGAAAAAATCAAAAATTTTAATAATAAAGAAATTGAAGAATCGATAAATTAAAAAATCTCAACACTTCCAAAACTGAAGTGATGAACCAAAGTAAGGGAAACCGAAAAATTTAAAAAGGAAAAATCGAGAAATCAGGAAATAGAAAAGTAGAAAAATCGAAAAATTGAGAGATTGAAATAGGCTAAATTGAAAAATTAAAATATCGAAAAAATTAAGAACCAAAAAACTGAAAAATCGAAATGTCGAAAAACAAAAGCCTAGAAATCAAACGTCCAAAATTTAACAGAATCGGAAAATTGGAGAATCGAGAATTTGAAAAATTCTAAAACTGAAATGATGAAACATTGGCAAAGCGAAAAGTTCGATTTTTAGTAAATCGAAATATCAAAAATTCAAAAAGAGAAATATCAAAAAATCGAAATTTTGAGAAATTGGAATTGGCCAAAATGGAAAAATTAACAATTGAAAAATTGAAATTTTGAAATTAAAAAAAATGATACATGAAGGATCTAAAAATTTAGAAAGCGAAAAATAAAAAATTTTAGAAGTCGTGAAATTGAAAAACCGAAAAATCTAGACCCGAGAAGTGGAAAAATTGTAAAATCGAGAAATAAAAACATCAAAAAACTGAAACATCTAAAATTTAAAAATTTGAAAAATTGAACAATTTTAACATCGAAATCGCGACAAAACGGGAAATATAGAAACAGAAAAAAATTCAAAAACCTGAAAAACGGAAAACTTCAAAAATCGAAAAACTGAAGAATTGAAAAATTGAAAGATGGAAACATTGTAAGGTCGAGAAATCGAGAAAGAAAAAAAATCTAAATCGACAAACTGAAGAGTGGAATTGAAAAATAGTAAACCTGAACCACTGAAAAAAATGGGAAATTGAATCGAGAAATCGAAAATTTTAATAATAATCAAGAAATTGAACGATCGATAAATTTGAAAATCCCAAACTAAAGTGATTTCTAAACGAAAGTCGAAAAATTTAAAATCGAGAAATCGAAACATCGAAAATTAAAAAAATAAAACATCAAAAAATCAGGAAATAGAAAAGTCGAAAAACTGAGAAATTGAAGCAGGCAAAAATCGAAAAGTTTAAAAATTAAAAAACCGAAAAATCAAAAATATTAAAAATCGTAAAATTGAAAATTTTGAAAATTGAAATATGTATAAAAAATCGAAAAATTGAAAAATAAAATTTCGAAAAATTGAAAAATGTAAAATTTAAAAATCGTAACCAGAAAAATCAAAACACTGAAAAGCGCCAAAACTGAAATATCGAAATATTAAAAAATAAAAGAAAAACTGAAAAATGGAAAAACTGAACAATCGACAACCTGACAAACTGAAGAACTAGAAAACTGAAAAAACGAAACATTGAAAGGTTCAGAAATCGAGAAATGGGAAAATCACACTCGGAAAGTAACTAGAAGGAGAGTTAGCACTTTTAGAGTGACATCCTTATCTTTGAACCGACTTAACACCGACACGATAATCCCAATTGCAATTTTATTATTTACAACGCCTTATCATAGGTTAAGCCAAGTTCACACCACTATCTCCAACCTCATCTCAGTTTTAAAATGTCCTCCCGACTCCTTCCACGTCTCACCCACCTCCGCCAAGTCCATTCCGAACTCACCACCAACTCTTTCCACAAAATCCCCCATCACATTAAACCCGAAACCTCCCCCCTCCCTCTCTATGGCGGCCGCCATCTTGTCACACTCCTCCCCGGAATCGGCATCGGCCCCGAAATGACCTCCCACGTCAAGGAAATCTTCGCCACAGCTCAAGCCCCCGTCGATTTCGAAATCATAGAAGGCACCGGCGAAGAACTGGTAAGGAATGCCATCACTTCAGTGCGAAGAAACCGAGTGGCCATTAAAGGTAACCTGAAGAGCGTGATCGACGAAGACGGATTCATAGCTCCCAATGTCATGATTCGGACCAAGTTGGACTTGTTCGTGTATGTTACGCATTACAAGACGTACAAGAACGTGTACTCGAAGTGGCCCGACTTGGACTTGGTCATCGTGAGGCAGAACACAGAGGGAGAGTACGCTTTGTTGGAACATGAGAGTGTCAACGGGGTCGTGGAGAGTCTGAAGATCGTGACGCGGGAGAACACGGAGAGATTGGCGAAGTTCGCGTTTGAGCATGCGCGGAAACACGGGAGGAGGAAGATTACGGTGGTGCACAAGAGCAAGCAGTTGTAAGTAGTTGGATTATGTTGTTGTATTTTTATTTACTCATTAGGGAGTTGTCGGACGGGATGTTCCTACAAACCATCAAAAACGTCGCCCATCACTACCCCGACATACAATTTGAAGACATGTACATAGACCGGTGTTGCCAGAAATTGGTGAGGAACCCTCACCACTTCGACGTTCTCCTTATGCCGAACCTGTACGGAAACATCGCTTCGAATATTGTCTGCGGCCTGTCAGGTGGCTCTGGTCTCTTCTCTGGTATGAACTATGGCGAAGATATTGCCATTTTCGAGTCTGCGACGAGACAAACCGGAGAAAGTTTCGTGGGTATGATCTAGCATGGCCCTCTTGTCATAAACCGTTGTGCTTCTAAAGTAATCTAAAGTTCGTTTACCGAACAGGTGGAGTAACCACGTGCCTACAATGTTTATAGCACGAAAGGCCAGAGCCGACTTGATGTAATCTAAGTATTATTTACTCTAGGCAAAAACATCGCCAACCCCGTAGCCATGTTGAATGCGGGGGTTAATATGCTGCGCCATCTTGGCAAGTCCGAACATGCCCGACTGATCACCGACGCCATCTGCCACACTTTAACGACAAGTAGAGTACACACGCCGGACCTGGGGGGTGTACACAGTACCACAGACGTTCTATCTGAGATTAAACGCTACATCGAGGATGTGAAACACTTAAATTGAAATTTATCTTTGTAACTTCTAACGTAAACCACATTAAAAATCTCGAAATACTTCTCGTAATTTTGTGAAATGTTTACCTATTTGTGAAAAAACGCACCAGAGAACATAGAGAAGCGTCATAGTTTAAATTAAATGACGGTTGAGGACTCCTCGACTTATGTTGGCAACAGTGTTAGGAATAAAATTAACTAGAAAAAATGTCATATTTTTAATGACGCGTTTTACTTTCGACAAATTGACACTAGATTTACCAAAATATTACAAGCTGCTTATACTGTTTACAATTTCTCAACTTTTCAATTTCTCGGTTTTCAGTTTTTCTCTTCAATTTTACGATTTTTCAATGTTTGACTTTTATAACATCCATATTTGTCGATTTTTCAGGATTTTGGTTTTTCAATTTTTCTGTTTTTTCAGGTTTCGATTTTTCAACTTCACTTTTTGATTTTTCGATTTCTCAATTTTTCAATTTTTTAATTTCTCAGTTTTTGGATATTTCAGTTTTGGGATTTTTCAGTTTACTTATTATTCAATTTTTCGATCTTACGATTTTGCAGGTTTTTGATTTTTCAATTTTTCGATTTTTCGACTTCACTTTTTTGATTCTTTAGATTCTCAGTTTTTGGATATTTCAATTTTGAGATTTTTCAGTTTTTCGATTCGTCAGTTTTTCTTTCATTTTTCAGTTTTTCGATATTTCAGTTTTAGATTTTTCAATATTTCTGTTCTTCGACTTTTTCATTTTTGATTTCTGGATTTTTCGATGTGTCGACTTTTTAATTTTTCGATTTCTCAATTTTTTGGTATTTTGATTTTCAATATTTAAAATTTTAGATTTTTCGATTTCTCGATTTTTCATTTCAGTTCTTCGATATTTCAGTTTTTCAAGTTTTCGAATTGTTCAAATGTTTTGATTTCTTAATCAATCGATTTTTCGACTTCCCGGTTTTAGATTTTCTGTTTTTCAATTGTCGTTTTTTCAAATTTTCGATTTTTCAATTTTTCAAATTTCACTTTTATAAACTGTCACTTTTTCTATTTTTCAATTAATCGATGTTTTTGATTTTCCCATTTCTTGACTTTCTAGGGTTTCGCTATTCCTATTCTTCAATTCTTTAATTTTTCGATTTTTCAGGTTTTTGATTTTTTATTTTTTAATTTTTGAAGGTTGCAATTTTTCGACTTCACATTTTGGATTTTTCTGTCTTCCATTTTTCAGTTTTTCGATATTTCAGTTTTGGGATTTTTCAGTATTTTGATTCTTTGGCTTTTCGATTTTTGGCTTCTGGAGATTTCGATGGGCCGATTTTTGTACTTTTTCGATTTTTCAATTTTTCGATTGCTTTAATCTTTCGATTTTTTGACTTCCCAGTTATAGATTTTCTGTTTTCAATTGTGGTTCTAAATTTTTCGATTTTTAACTGTTTTGGTTTCCCGATTTAGTTTCCATTCTCAGTTTTTCTTTCATTTTTCAGTTTTTCGATATTTCAGTTTTGGGATTTTTCAGTATTTCGATTCTTCGACTTTTTGATTTTTAAATTTTAGATTTTTTAATTTTTAAAATTTTAGATTTTTCGATTTCTCGATTTTTCATTTCAGTTCTTCGATATTTCAATTTTTCCAAGTTTTCGAATTTTTCAAATGTTTCGATTTCTTAATCGTTTGATTTTTCGACTTCCCGGTTTTAGATTTTCTGTTTTTCGATTGCCATTTTGTCAAATTTTCGATTTTTTAATGTTTCAAATTTGACTTTTATGAACTCTCAATTTTTCGATTTTTCATTTAATCGATGTTTTGATTTTCCCATTTCTTGACCTTCGAGAAACGGAAAACTTTTCGATTAATCGATTTTTTTTTATTTTCTTATTTCTCGACTTCTCGACCTTTCAAGGTTTCGATTTTTCAGTTTTTCAATTCTTCAGTTTTTCGTTTTTTTGAGTTTTTGGTTTTTCAGGTTTTTGATTTTTCTATTTTTCGACTTTTCAATTTTTTAATTTATCGATTTCCCGTTTTGTCGAGATTTCGATGTTGGTCAGTTTTTCGATTTTTAAATTTTAGATTTTTCAGTTTTTTTGTTTCTGTTTCTCGATCTTACGGTTTTTCTACTTCTCGATTTATCGGTTTTTCAATTTTTTGACTTTTAAAATTTTCAATTTTTCAATTTTTGACTTTTCCATTTTGGCCAATTTCAATTTCTCAAAATTTCGATGTTCCGACTTTTCGGTTTCTTAGTTTTTGGATGTTTCACTTTTTGAATTTTTGATGGTTCGATTTCCCGATTTATAGACTTCGATTTTCCAATTTTTCGATTTTAAAAATTTTCGATTTGCCAATGTTTCATCATTCCAGGTTTATAATTTTTCAAAATCTCGACTTTTCACTTTCCCGATTTCGTAAATTTTGGGTGCTTGATTTCTCAGATTTTTGATTAACCGATTTTTTTTTTAGTTTCTTATTTCTCGACTTCTCGACTTTTCACTGTTTCAATTTTTCAGTTTTTCGATTTTTTAAGTTTTCAATTTTTCAGGTTTTTGATTTTTCTTTTTTTTGACTTTTCAGTTTTTCGATTTTTTTCGATTTTGTTTTTAACTAACAACCGAGATGTTAAGAAATCGCAACATCAAAAAATCGTAAAATCAAAAAATTGAAAAATTGAAAAATTTGGAAAATTTAAAATGGAAATATCGAAGGACTAAACAATTGAAAAATCAAAAATTTAAATAACTGAAGAGATAAAATATGAAAAAATTGTAAAATCGGAAAGTCGAAAAACCTAGAAATCGAAACATCAAAAATTCAAAAATAGCAACATTTAAAATTAGAAAAATTTGAAATTAAAAAAAAATGATATAGTGGAAAGATTGAAAAACAGAAAATCGAAAAAATTAATGAATCAAAATTGGAAAGAAAAAAGACAAATCGAATCGAAAAATTGGAAAACCCAAAAATCGTAAAATCGAAAAATGATTTGGATCCTCAAAATTGTAAAGTCGGAAAACTGTAGTATAGAAAGATCGAAAAATTGAAAAATTAAAGATCGAGAAATGGAAAATTTACAAATGGAAAAAGTGAAAATTTTGATAAATGAAGAGGTTGAATAATTGAAACATTCTAAAATCGTAAAATCGGAAATGAAAACTCTATAAATTGCAAATCAAAAATTGAAGAAACGGAAAACTGAAAAACAAAAAACTGCAAAATTTAACACGGAAAACACGAAATATAAAAAAATCTAGAAATTGAAAAATCGAAAAACTGAAAAATTTCACTTTGGAAAAAAGAAAAATTAGAAAATTAGAATATTGAAAAACCGAAAAATTTAAAAAATAAAGGAAATAAGAAACTGAAACGGAAAACTGCAAATCATAAAACTGAAGAAATAAAAAATTGCAAAATTGCAAGTCGAACAACAAATTTTTTCAATTTTGGATGTTTGATGTCTCGGTTTTTCCTTTTTCAACTTTCCAATTTTTCAGTTTTTTTATTCTTAATTTTTTCGATATTTTAATTTTCAATTATTTCAATTTTTCGATTTTGCCTATTTCAGTTTCTTAATTTTTCTATTTATCTACTTTTCTATTTCCTGATTTCTCAATGTTTATTTTTTGTATTTTCGATGTTTCGATTTTTCCTTTTTAAATTTTTCGACTTTCCCTTGTTTCGTCACTTTCGGAACGGATGGGATTTTTTAATTTATCGATTGTTCAATTTCTTGATTATTAAAATTTTTGTATTTCTTCATTTTTATTGAAATTTTCGATTTCTTGATTATTAAATTTCGGGTTTCTTCATTTTTCAATTCTTCAATTTTTCGATTAATCGATTTTTTTTTATTACCTTATATCTCGACTTCTCGACCTTTCAATGTTTCGATTTTTCTGTTTTTCAATTCTTCAGTTTTTCGATTTTTTGAGTTTTCCGTTTTTCAGGTTTTTGATTTTTCCATTTTTCGACTTTTCAATTTTTTAATTTTTCAATTTTCCGTTTTGTCGAGATTTCGATGTTGTTCAGTTTTTCGATTTTTAAATTTTTCGAACTTTTCAATTTTTGATTTTTCCATTTTGGCCAATTTCAATTTCGCAAAATTTCGATGTTTCGCCTTTTCTGTTTCTTGATTTCACTTTTTGAATTTTTGATGGTTCGAATTCCCGATTTTCAGACTTCGATTTTCCAATTTTTCGATTTTAAAAATTTTCGATCTGTCAATGTTTCGTCATTCCAGATTTATAATTTTTCAAATTCTCGATTTTTCAATTTCCGGATTTTGTAAATTTTGGGTGTTTGATTTCTCAATTTTTTGATTAACCGATTTTTTTTTAGTTTCTTATTTCTCGACTTCTCACTTTTCAATGTTTCAATTTTTCAGTTTTTTGATTTTTCTAATTTTTGACTTTTCAGTTTTTCGATTTTGTTTTTAAATAACAACCGAAATGATAAGAAATCGCAACATCAAGAAATCGTAAAATCAAAAAATTGTAAAATTGAAAAATCAAAAATCAAAAATTTGGAAGATTTAAAATAGAAATATAATAATAATCTATTTTCTACAGGTACATAACCCAGAAAATAATACAGAAAATATAAAATAACATAGGAGAGTATAAAAGAACATATAAAACAACAATTGTTTACAGTATGAAAAAATAAATATCGAAGGACTAAAAAATTGAAAAATATGATATAGTGGAAAGATCGAAAAATTTAGAAAACGATTGAAAAACTAAAAATCGAAAATCTTAATGAGTCAAAATTGGAAAGAAAAGAAAACAAATCGAATCGAAAAATTGGAAAACCCAAAAATCGTAAAATCGAAAAATGATTTGAACCCTCAAAATTGTAAAGTCGGAAAACTGTAATATAGAAAGAACGAAAAATTGAAAAATTAAAGATCGAGAAATTGAAAAAGTGAAAAATTTGATAAATGAAGAGGTTGAATAACTGGAAAATTCTAAAGTGGTAAAATCGGAAACGAAAACTATATAAATTGCAAATCAAAAATTGAAGAAACGGAAAACTGAAAAATCGAGAAACTGCAAAATTTAACACGGAAACACGGAAAACACGATAGGTAAAAAAATCTAGAAGCTGAAAAATCGAAAAACTGAAAAATTTCACTTTGAAAAAAAGAAAAAGTAGAATATTGAAAAACCGAAAAATTGAATGTTTCGTCATTTCAGTTTTAGAATTTTTCAAAATCTCGGTTAAGTTTTGGATGTTTGATTTCTCGGTTTTTCGCTTTTCGACTTTCGGATTTTACAATTTTTTGTTTTAAATTTTTTCCATATTTTAATTCTTCAGTTATTTAAATTTTAGATTTTTCAATTTTTTGATTTTACGATTTTACGGTTGTTATTTAAAAAAAAATCGGAAAAAATAGAAAAACTGAAAAAACGAAAAATTGCAAAATCGAAGAAGTGAAAAATCGAAACATACTGGTTTCCAATAACCCCTTGATATTTTTAAATAAAACACCACAAAAACCAGTTCTAAGTTTTATTTCTTCGGATTTACAGTCATTTAAATAAAGAAGTGATCATGGGTTTAAGCCGTTGCTGGCTTTTCGTCGGTGGTGACGTTCGTCACCCCGGAAGCAGTCGATGTGGTGTCGTCGCTCTCGCCCGCGCACACCAGCGAGGGGAACTTCTTCTGGAGAGCTTGTCTATACTTGGGGTGGCTGTAAATAGTAGTAGTTTTAAGTTTGATATCTCGAGAAAAATGTCTGTGGGTTTCGCACCTGATTCCGTACACGATGGGGTTGTAGACAGCGTTGGCCTTAGCGAAAAGCGAGCACCAGATGGTGGACAGTGGACTAAGTTTGGCACCTTCGAAGATTCCAGCAAAATTGGTGACCAAATATGGCGTCCAGGCGAAGAACCAGAGAGAGATCGTCATGAGGGCGATCTTGGCCAGTTTGCACTCGGCGCTAGTTTGGGCCGCTTCGGATGACCTCAGGGACGCCACGTTCATTTTTTTTGCTTGCTCTCGCATGGACTTCTCGTGGGCGGCGACGGCCTAAAAGTACACCTTTAGTTTGAATTCAAATTTTAGTAATCGATGAGTCTTACCTGAACAATGAAAAAGTACGAGTAGATGATCGTCAGCAGCGGCGTGAAGTACACCCAGACCGCGTACACCAGGATGTAGCTCCTGCTCATCCAGTCCTTCGTCAGGTAGTCCGTCCCACACGCCGTCATGTTTCCCTCGGGAACATATCTGTTCCAGCCGAAGAAGGGCGCCAGCGTCCAGGTCAGCGAGAACGTCCACACCAGGAGGATCCTCAACATGGCCCCCTTTTTAGTCAAGGGCTGCGCGCTTAGCCCCTTCACGATCACGTTGTACCTGTCCAGGGCGATCATGGTCATGGACCAGATGGACACGCAGCCGAATAGCGAGCCCGCCATACCGTAGAGCTCGCACATGAGCGGCCCCAGGACCCAGGTCTCGTGGTAGCAGTTGATGACCATGGCCGGCGACATAGCTAACATCATGAAGAAATCGGAGAAGGCGAGGTTCACCACTAGGAGGTTGGAGGGCGTGCGCAGGGGTTTGGTGGAGGAGAAGATGTAGATGACCATGCCGTTGCCGATGACGGCGATGACGCCCAGGACGCCGATGACGAAGCCCAGGATGCCGTGCCAGAGGGGGTTCATGGGCGGGTACTGGTACCAGTAGGCGTCGACGAGGTGCAGCATGTCGGGGGGCACCTTGTCGACCACGGTGAGGTTGCCGCCGTAGCCGGAGCGCTGGGCGGCCCAGGCGACGAAGGTATGGTCACCGGTTACGGACATGGTCGGATTCTAAGACAACATTAACTATAGTTTTGTTGCCTGATTAAATAAAGTTATGCAACCAGTAATACAGACGTTACAATTACAATTTAATAAACAAAATCCTTCCTACACGGACTTTTAAAAATGCCAAAAGTACTTACGCGAAGTTCCACTTTTCCTAAATTATTCCAAATTTGAGAGGACACATCCAAGTCGGAAGACGCGTCAGCTGCGACTTTCTTGAAAATCGACCCAACTTCTTTTATATAACTTGTTCTTACGTGCGTAATTCAATAAAGACAATCCCCTTGAGCATTTTTACTTGGGCTTCGATAAGGATTCATAAAGTACCTAATCACATTATCCATCTTGAAAATTTTTGAAGCTGCTTCTGGTCAAGGACGGTTCTTGATTAGGGCCGAATTTTATTGGTTTAATCTTCAAAGGTAAGCCATAACCGTGATTATAATAAAGAAAATAGCTCTGCTAACAGTCAAGTTATAAAATAATTTTTTTTATAACGATAAAAAATGGAGAAGACAATTCGTAGCAAAAATTCCGGTTACTCAAGACGTCGTCTGAAGCAAAATTGCGAAATCTGCATAAGGTAGTTGTGAAATTAACTTCAGGTCATCTTTACTAGAGTTAACAACAAAAATAGAAAGTAAAGATAGGTTAATTATCACGAAAGATATTTTTTGACGGCTGTTTCATTCTATACCTATTTTAAAATCGATGTTTATCCCCACCAAAAATTAATGTAAAAAGCATTCTGGGATACACGTGGCACACTTAATTGTAATTATTGAAATTTTGTGAATAATAAAGCTAAAAAAAACATTCTACAGAGAGTTCTATAAAAAATATAATTGTGTACTAAATATCAAAGTTATCCAAAAAATTCTTTATAAAGCGAAAATTACTAAAAATTGCCGGAAAAGTTTAAAAACTAGAAGCGATCAAGTAATAGAACTAAACAAAAAGATGACCCTGGCAGAGAGAGAATATACACGTTATTGATTTTATAAAGTTTGTAACAAAAAAGTTCTACGAAATGGATTTATTATAAAAAAAAACACAGCGACAAAAAAAGTGTCAAAATAAGCCAAAAAAGCCACAAAAAAAAACATTAAGAAAGCTATAAAAAAGAAGATAAAACAACGACAGGAAAGAAAAGTACAAAAAACGTAAGAAAAATAAGCTAAAGAAAAAAAAGGATAACACAGAAGTGGCATAAAAAGGCAACTAAAAAGGTCCCCAAGAGAGCGATGAAAATCTGTAAAAAAAATCCGACAAAAAAAGGGCTAAAAACCCTGAAAAAAAAACAATTAAAAATGCGACCAAAAAAAGAGGTCAAAAAAAAGCAAAAAAAAGGCGCCAAAAAACCTAGAAAAAGGAGACAAAAAACGCCAAAAAACCGTTAAAAAACGGGATAATAAAAAAGCCCACAGAAAAAATGAGTCAAAAAACGTGAAATAGCTATAAAAAAAACGGGCCAAAACAAAAGCGATAAAAAAGGGCACCAAAAACATGACAAAAAAAGACGACTAAAAAAGGAGCCGACAAGAAAAGAAAAGAACAAAAAACACAAAGCGACAAAAGAGAAGTCTACAAAAAATATATATAAATCAGAAGATTATTTAAAAATCCGACAAAAAAGGACTAACAAAGACGACGACAAGGGCGACAAAAGGAGATAAAAGGCATCAAAAAAGCGCCAAAATACAAAAAAGCAGAACAAAAACTCAACAGAAATCGAAAGAGTGACAAAAATGACGATGAAAAAGTAAAAAAAAATGACTAAAAAAAGCGATTAAAAATACTACCAAAAACTTATGAAAAGGGAACAAAAAAGCCGTTAAAAAAGCTGCGAAAAAAACAACGATTAGAAAACAACAGGAAGACAAAAACGCAAAAAAAGGCTAAAAAGACACCAAAAGAGGACGATAAAAAAAGGTGACAGAAAAAAGGAGTCAAAAAACCGTGGAAAAAAAACAAAAAAACGCTATAAAAAAGCAACAGAAAAGTGACAAAAAAGGCGACTAAAATGTGTCAAAAAGGACAAGAAAGACATAATTGAAAAGGCCGACAAAAAAGGACAAAAAAAAAATTTAAAAAAAACACCAAAATATGGCATCAAAAAATCGAAAAAAAGTCAGAAAAACTGAAAAAAAATAGACAAAAAATGAGATAAAAAAAAAACACCAGAAAAAAGAGACTCAAAAAATGTAAGAAGAAAAAAAAGACTAAAAAAAACGAAAAAAAGGCGACAAAAAATGAACCCAAAAAAGTATCAAATATACAAAAAAGTTGAACAAAAACGCGACGAAAACCGAAAGAGTGACAAAAACGACCATGAAAAAGTCAAAAAAATTGCTTAAAAAAAGCAATTAAAAATACGACCAAAAAAGAGGTTAAAAAGAACCTAGAAAAGGGGAACAAAAAAACGCTAAAAAAAGCCGTTAAAAAAGCTACAAAAAAAAACAACGATTAGAAAACAACAGGAGAACAAAAACGCAAAAAAAGGCTAAAAAAGACACCAAAAGAGGACGACAGTGACAAAAAAAACGGTAAAAAAAAACGAAAAAATTGTAAAAACACCATAAAAACACAAAGTCTGAAAAAAGGTACCAAAAAAAAATTATTTAAAAAAACACCAAACTATGGCAGCAAAAAAAAACGAAAAAAAAATCAAAAAATAGGGAAAAAACGAGATAAAAAAAAGGACAACAAAAGAAGCAACTCAAAAAATTGAAGAAGAAAATGAACAAAAATGACCAAAAAACAACGGAAAAAGGTGACAAAAAGGAATCCAAAAAAGTGTCAAAAAACAAAAAGGGGGACAAGAAACGTAAAAAAGTGATCAATCAGCCAATAAAAAGCGATAAAAATGAATTAAAAAAAGCATAAACATGACTTCAAAATCCCTGACAAAGGGATTAAAAAAGGGGTCATAAAATCACAAAAAAGCGACTTCAAAACCGCCAAAAAGCTACTAAACAGGCAATCAAAACATGACAAAAAATAAGAAAAAAAAAACGAAAAAAGTAACAAAAATGACGATAAAAAATACAAAAAAAAAACTTAAAAAACCTGGAAAAAAGAGATCAAAAGGCGGCCAAAAGAAAAAGGAGGTCAAAAAAAGCCACAAAAACAGACGACAAAAAAGGCGACTAAAATGTGTCAAAAAGGACAAGAAAGACATAATTGAAAAGGCCGACTAAAAGGACAAAAAAGAGAAGCTAAAACATCCCAAAAAAAAACAAAAATGTGACGAAAAATCGGTAAAAAACGAAAAAGTGATAAAAAGATTTAAAAAAACGACAAATAAGCTCAAGAAAGCTGTTAAAAGAGATACAAAAGAAATATAATCAAACGACAAGAAAAAGAAGGGACGAAAAATGCAAAGGAAAAAAAAAACTAAAAAAAGGTACCAAAAAAATTAATTAAAAAAAACACCAAAATATGGCATCAAAAAATCGAAAAAAAGTCGGAAAAACTGAAAAAAATAGACAAAAAACGAGATAAAAAAAAAGGACAACAAAAAAAGAGACTCAAAAAATGTAAGAAGAAAAAAAAGACTAAAAAAAACGAAAAAAAGGCGACAAAAAATTATCCCAAAAAAGTATAAAAAATACAATAAAGTTGAACAAAAACGCGACAAAAACCGAAAGAGTGACAAAGACGACCATGAAAAAGTAAAAAAAAATTGCCTAAAAAAAGCAAATAAAAATACGACCAAAAAAGAGGTTAAAAAGAACTTAGAAAAGGGGAACAAAAAACGCTAAAAAAGCCGTTAAAAAAGCTACAAAAAAAAACAACGATTAGAAAACAACAGGAGGACAAAAACGCAAAAAAAGTCTAAAAAAAGACATCAAAAGAGGACGACGGTGACAAAAAAAACGGTAAAAAAAACGAAAAAAAAAATATAAAAACACCATAAAAACACAAAGTCTGAAAAAAAGATACCAAAAAAAAAGATTTAAAAAACCACCAAACTATGGCAGCAAAAAAAACGAAAAAAAATCAAAAAGTAGAGAAAAAACGAAATAAAAAAAAGGACAACAAAAGAAGCGATTCAAAAATTGAAGAAGAAAATGAACAAAAAAGACCAAAAAACAGCGAAAAAATACGACAAAAAGGAATCCAAAGTGTCAAAAAACGAAAAGGGGGACAAGAAACGTAAAAAGTGAACAAACAGCCAATAAAAAGCGATAAAAATGAATTAAAAAAAGCATAAACATGGCTTCAAAAACCCTGACAAAGGGATTAAAAAATAATAGTTTAAAAAACTAAAAAAAACACGCTTTTATTGCTAATCGAACTAAAAACTAGAAAATAATTTTTAATGACAGAGTTTAATATTACAGTAGTAGAAGATCAAACAATCAATTATAATAAATCACCTCAAATTAAAATTATAATAAAATTTAAGTTATTAACAGAATAATTCAATTCAGAGTAAAAAGCGTGGGGTGCTTGATATTTTAAATATTACAATCATTCTATTGGCAACTATCTATGAGAGGATAGTTATGAACCGCAGTAAAATGCACCCCACGCTTTTTACTCTGAATTGAATTATTCTGTTAATAACTTAAATTTTATTATAATTTTAATTTGAGGTGATTTATTATAATTGATTGTTTGATCTTCTACTACTGTAATATTAAACTCTGTCATTAAAAATTATTTTCTAGTTTTTAGTTCGATTAGCAATAAAAGCGTGTTTTTTTTAGTTTTTTAAACTATTATTTATTTTTCATTTTTTAGTCTGCGACAAATTCATAAATTGGGGAATTAATTACTTATTTAGATTTTTCTAGAAAGAACCACTCAGTGGTCTCCGTATGATCGATCAACGGGAATTAGTTCGAAATCAATCGCCCTCACGGACCAACGGGACACAATTCATCATTGTGGTTAGTTTTACCCCCCAAATAGTTAATTTTCCTCCATGTTTGTATTTCTGAATCAAAATTTGTTATCTTTATTTAAGTTGGTGAGAATTCATGATTAGATATGTTTTAATTATAATTAATTCCTTCTTTACCGACTGTAAAACCAAAGCTATGCAGAAATTGTCCTTGAAACAGAAATAATCGGTATAGATCGGTATAATCGACACGGAGAGAGATAACCGTGGTATATACTGACACAATTAAGATGCGATCAGCCATTTTATTTGCACACGTTTAGTTAATTAAAAGTCCGTTCTTGTTTTTTTCATTTAATATCCGTTATTTGTATTTTAATCAAGACTATAATTACAACGAAGAGTAAACCAGATACTACAGGCATGCGCAGATCGCGCGCTAGCTTTATCTCTTTTACTCCACTACACAGGATCCATAAAAGAATTTATAAATCCTGGCGGTCCTAATAAGGATAATGGGAAACTGTTATCAAATTATTGCATTGTCATCGATCCTTGAGACGTGTGCAAAGTTTCAAGATGATCAGACTTTTAGAAACCGATGAAAATTAAGCTCAAAGATTCCGTTACATCCATAAAAGAATTTATAAATCCTGGCGGTCCTAATAAGGATAATGGGAAACTGTTATCAAATTATTGCATTGTCATCGATCCTTGAGACGTGTGCAAAGTTTCAAGATGATCAGACTTTTAGAAACCGATGAAAATTAAGCTCAAAGATTCCGTTACATACATACATACAACCCAAGCTAATAAAAGCGTGATAAAAAGGGGTCATAAAATCACAAAAAAACGACAACAAAACCGCCAAAAAGCTACTAAAACAGGCAATCAAAACATGACAAAAAATAAGAAAAAAAAAAACGAAAAAAGTAACAAAAATGACGATGAAAAATACAAAAAAAAAAACTTAAAAACCTGGAAAAAAGAGATCAAAAAGCGGCCAAAAGAAAAAGTAGGTCAAAAACAGACGACAAAAAAATACACAGAAAAAGGGGACAAAAAACGCCAAAAAAAGGACAAAAAAGAGAAGCAAAAACACCGCCAAAAAACAAAAATGTGAAAAAAAAACGGTAAAAAACACGAAAAAGTGATAAAAATAACATACAAAAACAGCAACAACACAGCGATAAAAAGATTTAAAAAACGACAAATAAGTTCAAGAAAGCTGTTAAAAGAGATACAAAAGAAATATAATCAAATGACAGGAAAAAGAAGGGACGAAAAATGCAAAAGAAAAAAACCTAAAAAAAGGTACCAAGAAAAAATGATTAAAAAAAACACCAAAATATGGCAGCAAAAAACCGACTAAAATTCGGAAAAACTGAAAAAAATAGACAAAAAACGGATAACAAAAGAAGAAACTCAAAAAATGTAAGAAGAAAATAAACAAAGAAAAGACTAAAAAAGAACGAAGAAAAAGGCGACAAAAATGAACCCAAAAAAGTATCAAAAATACAATAAAAATTTAACAAAAACGCGACAGAAACCGAAAGAGTGACGAAAATGACCATGAAAAGTCAAAAAAATTGCCTAAAAAAGCGATTAAAAATGCGACAAAAAGAGGTCAAAAAGAACTTAGAAAAAGGGAAAAAAAAAACGCCAAAAAAGAAGGCTACAAAAAGACACCAAAAGAGGACGACAGTGACAAAAAAAAACGGTAAAAAAAATGATAAAAACACCATAAAAACATACAAAAAAAAAAAACGACAAATAAGTTAAAGAAAGCTGTTAAAGAAGCTACAAAAAGCCTGAAAAAGATACCAAGAAAAAATAATTTAAAAAACACCAAAATATGGCAGCAAAAAAAACAAAAAAAATATCAAAAAATAGATAAAAAGCGGACACAAAAGAAGCGACTCAAAAAATTGAAGAAGAAAATGAACAAAAAAGACCAAAAAACAACCAAAAAAGGAACCCAAAAAAAGTGTCAAAAAAACAAAAAGGGGGACAAGAAACATAAAAAAGTGAACAAACAGCCAATAAAAAGCGATAAAAATGAATTTAAAAAAGGATAAACATGGCTTTAAAAACCTTGAAAAAGGGATTAAAAAAGGAGTCAAAAAGCCACATAAAAGTGACAACAAAACCGCCAAAAAGCTACTAAAACAGGCAATGAAAATATGACAAAAAATAAGAAAAAAAAATAGCAAAAAAGAGTACAATAAACGCTTATAAAACACCAAAAAGCAGAACAAAACAGCTGAAAAAAAAGGTTGGAAGATGTAGAGCCAAAAAAATCTGTAAAACTAAAAATTGAGTAAAACAATGCGATCAAAAAGAGATGAAAATAAAAAAAAGCCACAAAAACGGACGACAAAAAAAGCTCCAAAAAACACACAGAAAAAGGGGACAAAAAGACGCCAAAAAGCGTTTACAGAAACTATAAAAAAACGACGATTAGAAAAGAACAGGAGGACAAAAGACGCAAAAAAGGCACTAAAAGGGGACGATAAAAAGCCGACAGAAAAAAGTAAAAAAAACTAAGAAAAGGGACAGAAAACACGATAAAAAAGGGCAACAGAAAAGTGACGAAAAAGCCAACTAAAAAGTATCAGGCTAAAAGGCGAACAAAAAAGTAATAAAAAAGAACAGAAAACGTGGCCTAAAAAGCGCCAAAAAAAAACAAAAAATGGGACAAAAACGCGTTAACGAAGCGAAAAGTGACAAAAATACTATAAAAAGGCAACAAAAATCCATAAAAAGAGCAAAAATACCTCCAGTAACTCTCAATAACGATGTTAAAAAATAGAAATGCAACCAAAAACGGGCGTCACAAAAGAAAAGAAAAAAGTAAAAAAAGGTGATAAAACAAGAATAGCAAGTAGCGGCCAACAGTGATGCTAATAATAACAATAAACAAATAACATTTACTCGAACCTTCACGTAATCGACCTGTAACTTAACCACCCCTGATCCAACGCAACGTAAGTTGCCTACATTTCAATTCGTAATTCCCGCGCTTTCCACAGAGGGCGCTCCCGCGCCGCGCCAATCCGCCACGCATGCGCAATCCTCTCTCCTCTCCCAACAAAGGAAGCGACGTCCATTTTGAATTGTGGCTTTGCGACGCGCGAACCTCGTCGTTTAACCATCCACATCTTCCGCTTATCTTAAAACAAAAACAAGTAAGTACCCAACAAACATGACCTTTGACCCCCAACCACCAAAATAACCAACAAAAACCCACCCATTTCGCGTCTCCACCACTTCCACGCCACCTCTAGACACCGGCAACCGGCTCGGCGTCCCCCATTTTGGCCCGGCCACGCTCACTCCAAATCAACATTTTCCTGTTTTATAGAGCGAAAATGGCCGACAGTAACGCACCAGAAGCGGAATCCGGCAACCCCCCACAACAGCAATCCACCCCGACGCGCGGGGGCGGCATGGGCGGCTTCAGAGGCAGAGGCGGGCCCGGAGGCCGCGGGGGCCCACGCGGGCGCGGCGGCTTCATGCGGGGAAGGTGGGTAGGCGGCGGTTGGCGAGGACACGTTGTAAGAGCGAGTTACAGGGGAGGACCTGGAGGACCTCCGGGACGCGGAGGGCCCATGATGAGAGGACGCGGCGGGCCCAGAGGGGCGCCTAGAGGCAGGTTCCCGCCCGGACCGGGTGAGTTTGGTAGGCCTTTTTTTATTTTTTATTTGGGGTGTTCAGGTGGAGGGTAGTTTGTGTTTTAATTAGTGCGGTGGTATCACGTGGTGTGTAATAATCACAAGTTTCGTTTTTATTATCATCGACGCGCTACTTTTATGTTTTCTCGACGTTTCGTGACCCCTTGAGTAGGAATGATATAAAAAAAAATATTTACGCGCTATCAATCGCGCGTCATCGGGTTGTGACATAATCAAAACATTGAAATTAGATACGTACTTCACAGGTGGCCCTCCCGGTGGCCCCGGCGGCGACTCACAAGGCCCGCGTGGTCCCCCCGGCGGTCCCCGCCCCCCCATGGGCCGCGGAGGCCCTGGTGGTTTCAGAGGTAGAGGCATGGGGGCGCCCAAGGGGCCCGGTGGACGCGGGGGAATGGGCCGTGGGGGCGGCATGGCGCCCCGGGGCCGAGGTTTCGGCGGTCCGCGAGGAGCCGGCGGCCGTGGCGGTTTCTTGGGGCAGAAGCGAACCCCAGGTCAATTTGGTCAAGGAGGCGGGCCGGGACCGAAGAGGCCGAGGTTCGAAAATGGCGGTTCCCAGAACGGATTCGGACAAAAGTAAGTCTCTTTTAAGTGTGTTGATGATTTTTTTTGATGTGTGAACAACGAACTTCGCGTTTCTGTTGGTTGGACGACACGTGTCAATGATTGTAGCACGGGTTGTTCCTGCCTGTTTTCGTTGAGGGCTACAAAGTTGACTGACTTTTTTTTGTTTTTATGTGGTTTAGTAGGCCGCAGGGTTACGGGAGCGGAGGTGGCTCTGGCGGATACCAGCAGTCATATAATTCACAGTCGTACGGACAAGGTCAAGGGTCGTATGGACAGCAAGGTTCCGCCGGTGGATACGGTAGTGGTGGTGGTTACGGCAATTCAGGACAATATGATGGTACGAGTTATGTGGAGACGTATCAGACAGGTAGTTAAAATGATGAATAAAGGGAAGGAAAAAATGTGTTGTATATAGCTACTCACTTTGTGGTAAATGCCTGAAATTGGAGACGGGATCAGACAAATCGGTATAGTTTTGATGTGGTAAACGACAAGGTTGTTTGTGTTTTGATCCCGTCATCATTTTCACAATCCGTGACTAACAAGAACAAATCAACGCTTGCCTGTCTGATACAAGACTGATCCCTTAGATTAAGGCTATTTTCTGTAGGCAATTCTGATAACTATGGATCATCAGGATACAGTAGCGGCGGCGGTTCCGGCGCAGGAGGCTACAGCAGTCAGCAGGGTTATGACGATAGGAGTGGGGGATACGGTGCTTCCGGAGGATACGGTAAGTCGATCCTAGTCAGTCCCTGGTGATTTTTAATTCACGAGAATCAGAAATAATTTTCATTTTTTTCTCTCTCTGGATTTAGAAAAGAAAAGTGCAAAAGCATTTATTTGAGCGTATGCCACATTGCAGCCATTCATTGTTCATATAGACAAGCTCAAAGAAACTTGCATATGTGGAATTGATGAAATGTTGATGACGTTGAAAAGTTTGATTATTACACAACTGTTGCTTAACGCTAAGTGATAATAGATGTTTGCCAGAAATTTGTACATTTTGTGTTTAATAAAATATCTTTGAATTCTTGTTTTTTAGCAACAAAAAAATTCAAGCGGGCGATGATCGAGGTGGGAAACAAAATTTATAGTCGTTGGTCTTAAGTAAAACAAAACAAAAAAAAAAATGCGAAGCTGTGAAACTATACACAATTTTGTTCGTTTTGACAATTTCTTTTGTTTATTGCTTTTACAACACAGTTAACACAAATTTGGAAAATACCAAAAACACGTTATGTGATATTAAGCGCTAAATAATAATAATAATATAAAAATTTACACAATGCATACAATATTTATTATTCTTAAATATATAGTATGAAACCCAGTATGATCCTTATGGACCAGTGGTAAAAGAAGCATACTATAGTTTATATTATAATTGTAAAATTTTATTAGTATACAAAAGTAACCTTAAAATCCTGAAAGTAAGCATCATATACTATGATCCTAATAAATTAAAAAAACTTCGAGTATTGCTAGAATTTTTACGAAAAGTATAGGGGAAAACTATGAATATTAATTTAAAAACGAAACGACGAACTGACAAAATAATGGTTCCTAATTAATGACGTCACTCACATGAGACAGATTTGGTCTTCAATAGCTGTTTTTGTTATTTTCCAACTAAAATTGTGAATTTTGTTTCTTACTCAGTTCCCGGCCATATAGTTTCACATTTCCACGAGAAATACGAGTAGACTTGAAAATTAATGTCTTATTTAATACACAAGATCGATTATGTGTCATTTAAAAAAAAAAATTAATTAAAAAAATGCACAGTTAAGTAACTTCGATTATGATTGTGACCAACATAAAAGTATCATAGTAAACATTTATTTTAACACACAGGATCGATTATGTGTCAGAACCATAGGAAAGTTTTGCACATTACTCAGAATGAGATGCTAGCTGTTATAATTTGTGAATTCATAGAAAAGAAAAACTATATAGATGTGAGTAGTTAAATTGAGCTGGATTTAATCAAATGTTTGATTTAATAAGTAAAAGTGTGCAAATCTCAGCCTGGTTATGGTCCATAACCTCGAGATGCCGTTGGCAACTGATGATTAATGTGGGTTTTGCATCTCCATGTTTGCAGGTTCAACAAACCAGGCTAGACGGTTCTAAAAAAGCCATCGTGTCTAATAGTGTTTTATTATCAATGTATTTTGTCTTATAATTATAAGTTAGTGTGATTAATAACTCAACATATATTTTTTATATTTTGTAGTAAATGTTTAGTTAATAAGTTTTTAACAGTATGATGTTTGGAGATTGTTTTCTTTCTTGGGATCATCTATTTATTTGAAAAGAAAAAGCAAAGATCTCATCAAATCAACCGTATCAGTGAGAACAGTTGCCCTTTTGATGTGGACTTTAGTGAAAGGGGAATTCATTTTTGTAGTTTAATCAGACAATGTGTACAATTATTTATTGATGTGCATAAATAGTGTTGTAGTTTCCAGTCTTCTCGAATCGAAAAAACCGGACAAATTTTTAGAACAAATTTGTGTTGGACTTGAAAAATTAACCTTAATTTTAAAAATACCGCACCCATTTTCTTGTACATTAAACGGAACCATTAAATAATAAAATGTTTGATAAGACACTCCTGTGCAAATTTCTTATCCCATTTGACAAAGTCACGAGATAACTGAAAGCCGAAGGCTTACACAGTCCGCACAATTGAGTAAGTATAACCTACCAAGTACGACAATCTACATTGTAGGTTTCATTATTTTCTTATGAATAACGACATAACAGCTGTCTTCTTTGCATGTACTGAATTGTTCGTTTCGAAAACGAGACAGGAACCTTTGGAGATAACAATTAATTATCATTATTTGAATTTACAGCTGTAAAAACCTCACGAAAGAGGTTGTTTATTTATAAAAAGTTGGTCGAGTGCCAAAAATATTTAATTCATCCCTGTTCAGAACAGTTTTATTTGTCGAAGACCTAAAATGAGAAGAATTTTTTGTCCCCGTGCCCACAATTGTGGCGCAAACATTTGTCCAAAAATTGGCTGCAAATTTATCTAATAGCAAAAACGGACACGTTTTAGGTAATGTATTGAAATTAATAGTTTCCTTTCTGTAATAGAACTTTCGAGTCTTTTTTTATAATTTCAAAAGTGCATTGGACCGCAAATCCGAGAACGACAAGTTCTTAGAAAATTTACGAAACACAAATTAAAAAATCCATAATTAAATGCACTCACAGGCTCATATTTCCGTAGTTAATTTTTAATTGTGTTCTGATACGTCAGAGTTAGATATTTTAAAGTGTGTTTTTCGTCAAACTCTTCTGCGGGGGTTTAAAATATCTAACTTGGTCTTCGTGGGGAGTTTTGCTTACGCAATTTTGTTTTTAGGATGAACCAGTGACTAGCGCCACCATTTCGAAGATCGAAACAAGAAGTGCTAAAGAAGCAGGAAGTGTTAAATGAGACATAAGTTATTTACGAAATTTTGAAAAAAAAACTTGCAATAAGAAAACTATTTTGGTTGTTGTGAACGTGATGATTGTTGGCGATTTTCTCGTTGCAAGGTTTTTCCAGACAGAGCACTAATTTTTACATTTCTTACAGTGATACTAATAATTTTTCAGATTCAGGACCAAGAGGATATTACTTTTCTGAATAAATAGTTTATTGATAGTTGCTATAATTTTTTGAACCTTGCCAGATCCTCATAAGTAATCCTGAGTATTATAGCTTCATATGGGAAAGGTAAATATGTTTTCATACTTAAATTTTGTGGTGGTGTCAGCAAGGATTGGGACAGGAACAGTGAATATAGTCCTAACGACAATAATATCGTATTGTCAAAATTACAGGAAAATGAGGTAAGCCGTTTTTGACTTAATAAATAAAGTAAATTATTTCCATACATTTTAAGCCTCCCTATATACCCATTTATTAAACTGATTAATTTTTTTTGTATCTAGATTAATAAAGTGTGGTTAGACAATTTAGATTTTCTTCTGGAAATTTGGTTGCTTAAGCTAAAAATTGAAGGCCAATTCATAAACCGCAAATACAGGAGTATATTGTTATAAAACTTTAAAATAAAAATAACGTGAAATTGTACAATCGAAAAAAAAGATGAAAATATCGATAAATCGAGAACTTGAAAAATCGAAAAATCAAAAATTTTAGAAATCGAAAAATTAGAAAACCCAAAAATTAAAAAATTAAAAGATGGAAAAATTGAAAAATCCAGAATGTGGACTTCCCAAATTGAAATGTGGAAAAATTTCACTTTCTACGAAAGAAGGTGGTAAATATAGGAAATTCTTCATAAATGGAGAATCTTTTCCGAGTATTTGTTGAAAAAACCGAGGCAAAATGACAACGAAGTTTTCAAAAATTCCCAAAAATTATTTTTGAAAATGATGAAGGTAGAGAATTTTTCCCGGAACAAGATTCTGAAATCACTTTGTCGGTAGCTGTATTCAAACAACTCAAAAAAATTGGACCAAAATTTTCAAAATCGGAATGTGGCTCTGTTCACGCGAAATTAAATGATAATATGTAGCAAATTCTTCACAGATTAAGAATCCAGAATGAGAAAGTTTTCAAAAATTTCCAAAAATTATCTTTGAAAATGTTGAAGGTTGTTCTTTTCGTGCAGAGAAAAATGCTAGTATGTAGAGAATATATCCCAAAACAAGAATCTGAAGTCACTTTGCCAGTAGTTGTAATCAAACTCAAAAAAATAGAAACAAAATTTTCAAAAATATTTTTGAAAAAACTGAAACGCGAAAGAAAACGGGAATGTGTACGAAATTCTTCACAATTTAAGAATCTGAAATCGCCTTTCGAGTTCTTACTGAAATAATCGAGAAAAATGAGAAACAAATCTTTCAAAATTATTTTTGAAAATAATGAAGGTAGTTCTGTTTATGCGAATAAAAATGCTAGAATGAAAAGAATTTGTCCCAGAACAAGAATCTGAAGTCACTTTATCGGTGGTTGTATTCAAACAACTCAAAAAAATTGGACCAAAATTTCCAAAAATATTTTTTGAAAAACCTGAAAGTTGACTATTCACGCGAAATAAAACGGTTGTGTTTAGGGAGTTCTTCATAATTTAAGAATCTAAAATCACTATTCGACTATTAACTGAAATTACCGAGAAAAACGAGAAAAAATTTCCAAAAATTATTTTTGAAAATGATAGTTTTGTCCGCGTGAAGAAAAATCCTAGTACTAGATAATTTTTGCCCGAACAAGAATCTGAAGTCACTTTGCTAGTGGTTGTATTAAAAAAACTCAAAACAATTGCACCAAAATTTCCAAAAATTTGTTTTGGAAAATCCGAATGTAACTTTCTCCACGCGAAATTGAGTGGTAATATGTACGAAATTTTTCACAGATAAAGAATCTGAAATCGCCTTTCCGATAGATATTGAAATAACCGAGAAAATTGGGAACAAAGTTTGCAAAAATTTTCAAAAATTATTTTTGAAAATGTTGAAGGTTTGTCCTGTTCGTGCAGTGAAAAATGGTAGAATGTTCCCAGAATAAGAATCTCAAGTCAATTGGCCAGTAGTTGTATTCAAACAACTCAAAAAAAGGAACAAAATTTCCAAAACATGTTTCAAAAAATCGGAATGTGGTTCCATTCACCCGAAATTAAGTGGAAATTTGTAGCAAATGCTTTATAGATGAAGAATCTGTAATAACGTTTCCAATACGTACTGAAATAACCGAGAAAAATGTGAATAAAATTTTCAAAAATTTCCAAAAATTATTTTTGAAAATGTTGAAGGTTGTTCTGTTAGTACAGAGAAAAATGCTTGCATGTAAAGAGTTTTTCCGAGAACAAGAATCTGAAGTTACTTTGCCAGTAGTTGTAATCAAACGCAAAAAAATTGGAACAAAATTCCAAAAATATTTTTTTGAAAAACCTGAAAGTGGCTCTATTCACCCTAAATAAAACTGTAATGTTTAGGGAGTTCTACATAATTTAAGAATCTAAAATTACTTTTCGAGTATTTACTGAAATAACCGAGAAAAAAGTTTTCAAAAATTTCCAAAAATTATTTTTGGAAATGAAGATAGTTTTGTTCGTGTGAAGAAAAATCCTAGTACTAGCCAATTTTTGCCCGAACAGGAATCGAAAGTCACTTTGCTAGTCGTTGTATTCAAAGAACTCAAAAAAATTCGAACAAAAATTTCAAAAAATATATCAAAAACCTGAAAGTGACTCTATTCACGCGAAAGGAAACGATAATATGTAGGGAATTCTTCACAATTTAAGTATCTGAAATAGATTTTCGAGTACTTACTGACATGACCGAGAAAAATGAGGACAAATTATTCAAAAATTTCCAAACATTTTTTTGAAAAATGCCGAGGGTAGTTCTGTTGTGCGGAGAAAAATGCTAGTATGTAGAAAATTTTTCCCAGGACAAGAATCTGAAGTCACTTTGCCAGTTGTTGCATTCAAACGACTCAAAAAATTGGAACAAAAATTTCCAAAAATATTTTTGAAAAACCTGAAATTGGCTCTATTCGCGCAAAAGAAAACCATAATGTCTAGCGAATTCTTCACAATTTAAGAATTTGAAATAGCTTTTCGAGTACTTACAGACATGGCCGAGAAAAATGAGAATAAAGTATTCAAAAATTTCCAAACATTTTTTTGGAAAATGACGAACGTAGTTCTGTTCGTGCAGAGAAAAATGTTAGTATGTAGAGAAATTTTTTCCAGGACAAGAATCTGAAGTCACTTTGCTAGTGGTTGTATTCAAAAAAATAAAAAAAACGACCAAAATTTCCAAAAATATTTTTTGGAAATCCGAATGTGACTTTCTCCACGCGAAATTCAGTGGTAATATGTAGGAAATCTTTCACAGATAAAGAATCTGAAATCGCCTTTCCAATACATATTGACATAACCGAGAAAAGTGGGAACAAAATATTCAAAAACTTCCAAAAATATTTTTTGAAAAACCTGAAAGTTCTATTTCACGCGAAAGAAAATGGTAATGTGTAGGGAATTCCTCACAATTTAAGAATCTGAAACCGGTTTTCGAGTAGTTACTGAAATAATCGAGATAAATAAAACAGTTTTTAAACAACTCAAAAAATTGAAAACATTTTTTTAAGAATTTCCAAAAATATTTTTCGAAAAACTTGAAATGCCTCTATTCATGCGAAATAAAACGGTAAAATGTAGAAAATTCTTCACGACTTCAGAATCTGAAATCGCTTTTCGATTACTTACTGAAATGACCGAGAGAAATGAGAAAAAAGCTTCCAAAAATTTCGAAAATTATTTTTGGAAATGATGAAGGTACTTCTGTTCGTTCAGAGAAAAATGCTACTATGTAAAAAACTTTTCGAAGTACAAGAATCTGGAGTCACTTTGCCAATAGTTGTATTCAAACAACTCAAAAAAATTGGAACAATATTTTCATAAATTTCCAAAAATATTTTTTGAAAAACCTGAAAGTGGCTCTATTTACGGGCAAGAAAAGGGTAATGTGTAGGGAATTCTTCATAATTTGAAAATCTGAAATCGCTTTACTAGTAGTTACTAAAATAACCCAGAAAAATGAAAACAAAGTTTCCAAAATTTAAACTTCAAAAAAGTTGCACCAAAATTTCCAAAAGTATGTTTTGAAAAATCCGAATGTGGCTCTATTCACACGAAATTAAGTGGACATTTGTAGCAAATGCTTTATAGATTAAGAATCAGTAATAACTTTTCCGATACAAACTGAAATAACCGAGAAAAGTGTGAACAAAAATTTCCAAAAATTATTTTTGAAAATGATGAAGGTAGTTCTGTTCATGCGGAAAAAAATGCTATTATGTAGAGAATTTTTCCAGAACAAGATTCTGAAATCACTTTGCCAGTCGTTATATTCAAACAACTCAAAAAATTGAACACATTTTTTTAAGGATTTCCAAAAATATTTTTCGAAAAACTTGAAATGCCTCTATTCATGCGAAAGAAAACAGTAAAATGTAGAAAATTCTTGACGACTTCAGAATCTGAAATTGCTTATCGAGTACATACTGAAATGACGGAGAAAAATGAGAAAAAAGCTTTAGAAAATTTGGAAAATTATTTTTGGAAATGACGAAGGTACCTCTGTTCTTTCAGAGAAAATGTTAGTATACCGAGAATTTTTCCTAGAACAAAAATCGGAAGTCACTGTGCCGGTAGTTGTATTCAAACAACTCAAAAAAATTGCACCAAAATCTCCAAAAATATATTTTGAAAAATCCGAATGTGGCCTCTATTCGCGCGAATTTAAGTGGTAATATGTACCAAGTTCTTCGCAGATTAAGAATCACAAATCACTTTTCGAGTGCTTCCTGAAATAATCGAGAAAAATTAGAACAAAATTTCTAAAAATATTTTTTGAAAAACCTGAAAGTTGTTTTATTCACGCGAAAGAAAACGATAATGTGGAGGGCATTCTTCACAATTTAAGAATTTGTAATCGCTTTTCGAGTACTAATTACTAACCCAGAAAAATGAGAAAAGTTTTCAAAAATTTCCAAAAATTATTTTTGAAAATGAAGGTAGTTCTGTTCATTCGGAAAACAATGCTAGTATGTAGAGAATTTTTCCAGAACAAGATTCTGAGATCACTTTGCCAGTCGTTATATTCAAACAACTCAAAAAATTGAAAACA